AAAAATACAGCGGGCAGAAAAAAATTCCTTATGGCTCACCGACAGCGTAAAAAGTTCCATCGATAAAGCAAATACAAACCACGGAATAGCAACATTTCTGAGTAGCGAAAATGCTACTAAAAGACGCAAGAAAATGCCTAAAAAATTTAATAATAAAACCACTGTCTAGGACAAAGATGAAAGCAACAGAAAAATATCTAGAAAATGAGGTACAGAAATACTCCAAAAGTCTAGATAAGTTGAAAGAACTATGCACGGGAAGATTTCACGCAGTTTACGAAAGCTAAACTTAACTGCAAAAAGGGAAATTTCAAAGGCGTAGATCTCCAGAGAGTTACGGTAAAAAGCCCAGCTGTCAGCCTTATCCAAAACTTTGCGATCACTCAATTGTACAGTTTCAAAATGTTTTTCAAACTCTCCCTTTGCTGGCCCAGTCTCAGTACCACTAAAATACTACAATATAAAGTGATATTTCACCTGTGAGGAAAGTAAAAAATCAGAGCCCATACTAAAAATTGTTGTAATTCCCCGGGTCGGCTCAAAGGTGAAGAGCTGTACAAACGACTTACTTTGGGATATCACTATGCTGTGAACCCACGGTAGTGAAAAACCGTCCGCCTTCTACGACAGGTGCATTACGTTTTTCTGCTTGAAAATTAAAAAATTTCTTTTACGGTGTGCAGTAGAGAGCCCTTCTTATTCAAATACACATGATTTCTCAGTAAGTGAAGAAATTTTGTGTACAAAGGAAAAGCAAATGAAAGAAAACGAAAAAAAAGACAGACTTCCTGTCGGACCATTTAGAATAAGGTCTATACGATCCTGAGATTTCTCCAAAATTCGTTTCCTTCTTAACTCACGTCGTTCAGCAGCTGACAAAACTTGCGATACTCCTGCACCGTTTTCTGTCATAGTGTCATGAAAATCGAATGCCTGCGCCTAGAATTCTTCACAATCATTTCAATGATTTTCGTTTTGTTAGAAATAAAACACCAGTCAATAACACACAGAATTTAAATTCATCAAAATGGTTCATTGTTCCATCAATCTCTATGGTTTCTACGACGTACCAAAATAAAAAAAAACCGGACAATCAATAATAAAAAGTTCCTCTGTACTTCTCAGATTTTTGCCAAATCCCACTGTTAAATCCTAGCTATTTCCGGAAGCTATATCAAGAACAGGCTTATTGAATAAAATAAGCAGCTATTTTTAAGAACAATTTCGGTTACACAAAAATAACGTACAGAACAATTCCTGGCCAAATTTTCTCATTTTCAACGCTTTAATTGACAAAAGAAGGACAAAAAACAAACAAAAAAATATGTGGATTTCGAAACAAATCCAAATTTTGAAAGTACTTCTTCGTCGATTTCCCAATGACTTCTCAACCTGAGTACCGCAGAACTGCAAACCTGTAACCGATAAGCGCTAATTGTCCTTTTGAATCGGGACTTTTGCCAGGTATGGTCCCGTGGACTACTCAAAAGAGAAAATTTGGCGCCTTGGAAGTTGGCAAAATGCCTCTAACTAAGAAGTGTAAAATTCGTCACAAAAGTAGACTATAAATGAACTTTCTCATTCGTGGTTTTACAGACGTCATTTTCTAGACGTCTATTTTCGTTTGTCTCCAGCTTTTTTCCTGACTGGTTTCAACAGTTTTATTTCGTTAAACCGAGGGATCTGATAAGTTCCAAGATAAGTTAGCTCCCCTTCCTGAGTACTATTGACACATCCAAAGTAGCTGTCTTTAAACGATGTATGCACTTGGAAAACGGTACCTTTGAACGCACGGTGAAAGTTTAAGGAGTTTTCTTGTTTTTATTACTTCACTTTTCTACTTCAAAAAATCCACTTTTACTAACAATTGCCTAGAGATATCTCGAATTTGATATTATTTTCGTAGAAGACCATTTAGACCTGTGTTTTAACAAACTTTTGAGTATTGTCTAATTTACATCCTCGAGGATTGTGGTTACTTGTTTAGTTCTGGACTACCACTGAAGCATTATTTAAAGAAAAGATATGAAGACAGAGGTAAATTTGGATCTATAATTGAGAACTCTTCTTTGGTCATCGCTGTCGAGCTGGAATATAGGAGCAAAGCCATCAGTTGGCTTTTTTTCAATAAAAACTAATTGGAACACAATAGGATCGTGCTTTTATTTTGTTCGTATGGATAGAGACACAGTTTTGTGGATTTGCAAAAGCAAAATGAATTTTGGAAAAAGAATTCCAGCATTCAGTTAACAGTTTTTAGAGCATAAATTATAAAAAGGTTTTTTTTTCAGTAATTTTTTTGCTTAGATAAATCTATGGTGTAGCTACTGTAGTGACGTACTCTGAGAATTTTTTCAAAATTCTTTGATTAATTTACTTTGTTTTATTTCACATTACAGCTACAGTTTTGAGCTAAAATGTAGGGCTAAGTAACTTTTTTTTTGTGGTTTTTGTATTTTTTTTATCAGTAGCTGATTAAATTTTCAAAATCTTTTTTTTTGAACTAGATTCTGTATGAAGATCAGTCTTAACTTTTGTTAGCAGACTATGTGTATTACGTCTTTACCCTTTTTTTTCAGTTTAATATATCTCAATAAGAAAAGTTAATCTGTTTTTCAGGAACGATTTGGAACTCTAAAAAAAGTAAAAAAGTCCTAAACGAGAATCCTGAATGTTAACAGAAACTTTTGTTCAGCTTAACTTACATCGTTTTGCAGGAGAATTTTTTTGATAACTGTGCGGTCAACTTAATGATATACGCGTTTGCTTCAGATGTATTCCGCGCTTAGCAGAACCGTTAAGAAAGGAAGCTGAATTGACTGATATCTACGTATTTGGTCTACTTAAAAATACAAACACACATCTGTACATTTCTGTATTTTCAATTAGTTGTACCAGTTTTACTGCATTTTGGAAACGAATTTTTCTTGTAACTGCATGAATTCATTAACTGTAAATAATTGCTGTGATTCTTTTTTAGTCAAAAAAATTTTTCTTATTGCTTATCGTAAAAAAACTATTAAAAAATATGTAGACATGCATGACATTCGATGGAAATGTAAGGGGGAAGTTTTTTCAGCTTCTGAAATAGAGCAGTACAATTTTTTTCTTTTCAGTGAAGGAACGAAGAGAATGTTCATGAGAATCTAGCTGATGCACAAAAAGAGAAAGAAAATTTACTTTAATTACTGGACTTTTACAGACTTTTTCTCATTTGGATTTTTCCCTTCATTATTCGCTCTTCAGACAACAAAAAATTATCATAAATAGTTCTTGACGTGCTACTGATGATTGCTTTTGCTGCCATCACTGTCGCCATTGCTGAACATTGAATTGTTGTTGTTTAATTTTGTCAAACTCAAACTGAACCAGAGTAATTTAACGGATTTTGGAAAACAGTCTTTTACAAATTTACCATTTAAGACTAATACTGTGTTACGGTTATTTTTTCTTTTGCTAGAGCTTTATCTTTAATTTGAACATTATTTATTGGGATCAGAACTAGTTGAAAACTTCCTGTGCAGAAACAAAAATAAAATGAAAAAAGTGGACTACCAACTGTTTAGCGGTTGCTATAAATGGTTTCGAAAACCATTTAACAATTCGAAACTTGAGGGGAATTCTTGACTGGCAATCAATCTAAACATTTCCATCGAATGTCATGCATGTCTACATATTTTTTAATAGTTTTTTTACGATAAGCAATAAGAAAAATTTTTTTGACTAAAAAAGAATCACAGCAATTATTTACAGTTAATGAATTCATGCAGTTACAAGAAAAATTCGTTTCCAAATACATAGATCAAAAACTAGATGAACGTTGCTAAGCTTGCTCTAAGGCTCCAAAATGTTGTTTTTTTGTCGACCGTTCAAAGTCCTCTGATGTTACCGAATTTTTCGGCGTTTCTTAACATTAAAGTAGTAATGATGAAAAATAAGCTTAATCATTTGAAATCATGGAAACCTCATGGGTATCAATACGAATCTGTGTTTTCTTTGATAGTACCAGAAAATGCTGAAACAAAGCTCTGCTAAAAATTTTTTTGTCATTTTTTGATTTTACTAATGTCTATAAAAGTTTAAATAAAGTAATATTTGGCAAGAAAAAAAAGAGATAAATGTATTGTTTTCCTACAAAGATATTTTTAGAGATTTATATTTTATGTGTGAATTTAGGAGCAGTAGTTTTTTAGTTTTTCTATAACATTTTAAGAGCTTTTTTTTTGGCTTATATTGCTTTCAACACTACCATTTTTTGTGTTTTACACCAACCTTTAACTTTATTTCATTGCTCAAATCAATTATACATTTTTTCTGCTAGTTTACTATAGCTTTGGGCTTATACAACCATAGTTAAGAGCTTTTTGCTGTTCAGATTCAGTTCTTGACTATACAGTATAGTATACAGAGCAAATGTACGTTTCTTCTGCTGTAGTCAGAACACTTCCGAAAAAATACACGGAAAAAAGTCAATTTCTAACAAAGAAGTCTGCTAACTTCAACAACTAAATAAATGTAATATACACCGAGGCAAAAGTTATGTTGAATTAAAGCTTAATGTTGTACAGTTCAAAGAACACTGAGATGAATGTAGCTGAAACTTCTTTTTACAAAAAATTCTGCAGTATTTTATTCTGCTATCAGAGGCCGATCTTACAATGGATCGATCCTTTCAGCTTTGCTACAGTTAAATCACTTTCTAAGGGGTGTTGCAGAAAAAATCCACAGAATTTGAGCAATAAATAATGAGTGGCAAATGACTGAGAGAAGAAGAAAAATTGGATGTGAAATAGATGAAAAAAAAATTAATTTAGAAAAGTTTTAGCAAACTATCTGTCAGACAGTGTTTCTAAAGTTCTATTTTTCACCAGCTTTATTGGAGAAATTAGAAATTTGTTTTGAAAAAGAGGATTCAAAAATAAATACTGATCACAAAAAAATTAGCAAGTGGTTTTATGCAGAAAGCTAGTTTTCAGTAATTACTCTATCGACTTGTTCTGTTTTTTATTACCTATTCAATAGTCAGGAGAGAATTGGAATAGTTGGACTAGAAGATCAAACCAGAAAGAGAGTAAACTGTAAACATGGAATTTTATTTAAACAGATATTTGGCTGTACCGGTCTGTCAGTATATGATTTTTAGACAACACAAGTGCTTTAGAAATTTCTATTTTAATTACTGTTTGAGATATTGAGATGAAAAGATAATAATATTATCTTAATTGGTTTAACAGTTATAGAGGTCAAAGAAAGGTGAATTTTGAAAGGTTTTTGAAAAGTTGTTGAATACAGTTATTTATGAAAATATATAAGGTTTCTGGAAATAGAGGTGTACAACTGTAGACGAGTTTTTGACATTACAAGTGAACTTTAAATTCTTAATAATTTTTGAGATTTAAACTTTAAAGAAAAAAAAGATCTATTTTTATCGTTTTAGCAGATGATCTAAGATTTGTTTCTGCTAAATTCATCAAGTTTTTTTCACAGTCAGTTAAAGAACGGTTAGTTGGCAAAGAAAAAATAAACAGTTTATTAATTGCAGTACATAACCATTGTTTAAACTGCTTTTTTTTGAGATGCTGAAAAGCTGAAACGTTTTGATGCTGTTTAGCTATCAATTATGACACAGGAAGCCAAAAAGACAAACTCCTTCTCTTTTCCCAGCCACAGTTCTGCTATTAATGCTGTATCTTTTAAGTGCACAGAAGGATATAAAAATGAAAGGAAAGCTAACCTTTCAGACGTATACGTACTTCATGTTTCTGCTTCTGCAACAACCAAATCATTAGGATTTAAAAAAGAAAAGTTGGAGTAATTAATTCCTAAAAAATAGAAATAAATTTGAACAGAATTTAGCTGTAACCCTAAAACACTCACAGACACTTAAATATATCATTTTCACATCAATTAAT